TAAGAATAGATAATCTAATATTGATATTTATTTACTTAAACAATATTCTATCATGAAACGTTATTAAATTCAAAATGAAAAAATTAAAATTGGGTTTTAAAATGAAACTTTATCTATTTATGTTAAAAGAATCTATACTACTTTCGATAGTTTAAAATTAAAAAAAAAAAATTAATTCAATTATTATTTTTAAAATCATACATTTATAATCTATATCTATCAATAAGCACTGCATTATGTTAATTAGGAATGCAATAATAATTAATTTTTTCATTGATATCAAATATACACTATTATTTTATTTTTCAAATTATCTGAAATGAAATCTAAAAAAGGGACATAACATCTATCTTCAGAATTGTCTTAATCCATGTATAATTAATTTTCAAAATATAACTAATTTTTGAGAAATATTTATTGAAATTTTTATTTTTTGAGTAAAATAATATCCTTTTAATTATATAATTAAATGATTTAAAGAATTACAATGTTAGTATCATGTTATTTATTAATAACAATATGATTGATTAATTTAAATCACAAAACTTCTTAATTCAAAATAAAATATCCTTAAATTTTATTAATTTTCATACTTTAACTAGGTATAATATATTCCAATCAAATTTTTGTACTAGTTCTAAGGATTGTTAGAGTTTTAGATTTTTTTTCTTAAAAGTTTAATAACTGAAAAACATGTTAAGAGTCGAAGACATTCGCTTTAATTTAATATTCAAAGATTTAAATTTTAATTGAAAATTAAATAAAAATTTATAAGTACTCAATGCTAAAAAGTTGTGTGATTTTAGTCCTTTTTGCAATAAGTTTGAATTATTGTCAGAGAAACTTCAGATATTGTTAGAGAAATAATAAAATAAAAGCATTAACGAGAGGCTATTATAAAAATGTCATCAGTTATGACGCAAGTCCTCTTTTAACTAGTCGAAAATAAAATTAGTTTGCAGGAGTTGGAAATGAGATGGGGATTCTCTTTAGAAATGAAATATATTAAGCATCATCAAATTAACGAGGGACATATATCAGTTTAGGCTAGTCAATAATTATAGAATTACTTTAGGTTTATGAATTAAATACATTAAAAATTGTGTTGAGGAATGGAAATATCAGAACATATGATTTTATAGTTTATGCATCAGATTCTAATGAAGAAATAATAATATTTGATTCAATAACTAACTATATTGAAGTTGTCACAATCAAATTTCGAAATTAACTTGTCAAATATTTTCGAATTTATAACCGAGGTGGAAATTCTGAAGCTCCTTTTACACATATAATAAAGGTTGAAGCTTATTTTAAGATTTGAAAATTTTTTATATGATAATTAATTCTTGGTATTAAAAATATTTTTTAATTTCTCTCAACTGATTTTTTATTTAATAAAATATGAAATCTTAAAAGAAATTAAAGATTATATTTATATGATACGATTTTTAATTCCTTGTGAATTTAATACTCAATAGAAATAAACCAAAAATGAAGTTTATGATAGATTTAATAAATTTTATAATTATTTTCAAATCAAAAATTGAAGATGAATTTTGAATTATAAGTAAAATTTATCACTAACTTGAACAAACCTTTAATGATGAGTTTAAACTACTTAGAGTTTTTGAAAATGTGCCTCCAATCTTTTTTGCCTTTAATAAAATTATGAACTAATTATGTATAATTAATTCCAAATGGAATTAAAATATGATTTCAATGCTAAAAAAGAATTATTGAAAATATATTTATTAATGGTCCATTCTAGCTATCAATAATGAATCAAAATTCTGCTAAATTCCTAAAAACCTTCTTATCGCTTTGGTTGAATTAGTAGCAGATTTATCAGAGAATTATCAATAAATTTCAGTCTCTTTTTGTAATAATAGGAATTTTTAACTTTAGAGTTTTTGCAAAGTCTCATTATGAAGAAATTTAAATATTTACATTAGACATAAGCTTGTATTTTTAAGATTAATTAATGTAAACATATTATTATCAAATTAGATTCTCAAATTTCATTCGTCTAGATATGATGAAATAGCTTCTTTCTTCTATTTTATTTAGCAAGATAAATAAAGAATAGAATATATTTGAAAAAAAGAGTTATCATCATCCATATTTTAGTGTTTAAATTAATGAATTTAAAGATTTCATTTATGCATGTAATTACTTAATAAAATTAAAAAATTAAGTAGAGAAAAGAGATTATAAAGTTTATATTTCAAATAAAATATTTTGTGGAGATAAGAAAAATTAAATAATACAATAATTTCATTTGTATTATTTTAAATAAAGTCAAACTTAATTATATAATTCACTGAAAAATTGCTTCAAAAATCCTTCCAATCAAATATCAAAACCGCTAAGCAGTTTAATTATACACATTCAGCATGACTTATTTGATAGCATTATGAATTTTTTAAAGCTATTTAGATATAGATATGGCCAAATGGTATTTAACTATCAAATAAATAACAAGGTTTTGCAATTATATAAATGATATTAGTGAACACATATTTTCCCAAAGATAAATTTAAAACATTTCTTTTTTTAAGTTTAGAGATTGATTATGTGATTGAGACTATTAAGACGACAAAAATGTGAATCTTATCTGCTGTAATAAATTTCTTAAGTTTAAAACAGTTGATAAATAATTTTTAATCACTTTTAAAGATCTTTTGGAAGAATTCATTAATGATTTTTATTTAAATGGATAAAGAGAGTAAATAAATACAAATAAATATTCAAAGGTACTCTCTACTGTTAAAAAAACATATCACAAGTTGAATTGAATTAAATTCGAGAATCTGGAAAAATATGATTATATTTGCAAAAATCAAGAGGATACATAAATATTCTACAAAGATTAATTTTAATCTCATCTTGTATTAGAAGTAAAGTTTGTTTCAATCTTGAGACTTAAAAATGTTATAAGTATGAAATGGATGATAAATAAAAGTTAACTGCTACAGTGTTTATAAATTGGGCAAATTCCATTTTCAAATTAGAAAAGGATAAATGTTTTTAATTATATCCAAATAATGATTAATCATTAACAAGCACATTATAAAATGATACTAGTTAATAATCAAGTAGCTAGATTAATCGATTCACCTACAGGACTAGGCTATATGTTGGTAGTTGACTAGACTTATGAATGAAAACTATCATTTGTATTCATAATTCAAATATCCAAATATTACGAATAAAATTGATAGCTTTTGAATAATTCAAAAGTAATTATTTAAATTGATTTTTAGATGAAGCTGAACTTTATTTCACTAATATACCATAATTAATGGAGAGCTTAAGATATTTTTTAATTATTTGTAAAAAGAACCCGAAATCTAAAATCTATACAGAGAAAGAGAAGCATTAATGTATTTGACAAATAAACATGAAAAATCTCCAAAATTGTTAGCTGTATATATTGATATCATCATGAGAAGAGAGAAAGGAGGAAAGGAAATAGAAAGTGATAAATGTTGACCTAAATTATTTCTCTCTTTCAATTACTTTATCAACAAGATATATTTTTACAAAATTATTAAAAACTCTTATCCAAAAGATTGCTCAATCAATAGATTAAAAATTTCTATTTAGAAAAGTAACTTGTGTAAGTATTTAAAGGGGAAGATGCCAAAATGTTCTTTAAAATTTTAATTATTCTTAGAACTAAATTATCCACCTTGATTTAAGATATTGAATTATCAAGCAGATTTACTATTTATAAATAAAGCTAAAAGCAAAGGAAGAATACTCATATGGTACTTTATTTGGGGACAGGGAGATTTGATATATAAAACATAAACAGAAAAATACTTCTTGAATATGAATACAACGTAAATATTTTTTTTCCTTTGATTTAATAAAGCAGATTCATTCTCTGTTAAAAATATCTTGGATATATATTTAATATATTCTTTATCTTAGAGACAATTTTAGATAGCCGCAAACCAAAAATTGATGTTTTGATAATTCTTCTAATCAACACTTAGTTATTTCTCATTTAAAAGTTAAAGATTTTGAAATATTAACACTAACATTCAATTCTCAATTAATTTTAATAGTAAAAATAAGAGAAACTTACAAGCATATTAATTAAAAAGATAAGTTTTAGAAATTTTTAATAGTTAGTTAGTTAGTTAGCTTAATAATATTATTTAATAAGTTGATCATTTAAGTATAAAATATAGAAGACTTAAGTTATTTAATAAAGATTGATCATTCAATTTAATTGCAATTATTATAAAAGGATTGAAAAATTTCTTTCACTTTATAGAAAAATTTGGTATTTTTCAAAAAATAATATATGTAGAGAGATATGAATAAATTTAATTGTTAACCTTGTTTAATTATTTCAAGTCTATTAATGTTTAGAGAGATTATTGAAATTAGTATTTAATACTACTTAAATGAGTTAAATAGACCTGATATAGAAATTGATAAAAATCTCAAAAGTTGAAATTTAATTATTAATATTATCATATAACCTTTGCATTCGCATTTCATGTGGATGTAAATTCTGAATAAAATAACACTTTTTAGTTTTTTTTTAAGACTCAAATACTATTAGGTTAATTTTTATTCAAAATTATAATTGCTGCAATAATTATCTCATAAATGATAATAGTAAAGAAATAGGAATTATCCTTAACAGTCTTAAAATAGAAATATTTCTCAGTGTTATTACTTCTTTAAAGCACTTAATTTGTACAGAACTTTTTTGAATATTATACACATTTAATCTATGACCATATTAAATAGTGAACTATCAAAGTATTTGTATATGCATCCATAACAATTGTAAACACAATTTTCCATTACTTTAAGACATGGAAAATCAGAATCATATTAATCTGAAGTAAAATTAGAATAACTTAAATCTAAACACAAATTTTACTTCTATAAGCATTTATTTTAATTCTGGATTGAATGGTAGTTTTATTTTTGAGTAGTCAATTGATTTTGGAATATCATCAATTTATGGCACAATATATAAGAATTTATTTAATTAGAAGTTTTTAAATGATTTCAATAATAATCAATAATCATTTAATCCAATACTGTAAATTTAGTTCTCTACATTAATATTGATATAAATTAAAGAGATTTTTACTCCTTATATTTATTTGGAAGGTATAGAAATTGATGTTAGCATAGACCTAGATATATATTTTAAGATGAGGTTTACCATCACCAAAGCATTTTTTGAAACTAAACTTCAAAATATGAATCTGATATTTTTCTCCATTTATTTTAGATGATTATCTTATTTATTATGATTATATATTAATCAAATGTTCTTTTAGTAAAGGCTTGAATATAAACATATTAAGTGTTGAGGAAAACCATCTTTTCCATTAATTTTTATTTAACTTAAAAGAGGTATTAATTGATTTGGCTATACAAAATGTTTCTCATTAAAAGAACTTACTTCTAATCAATATTAATCTTGTGATGGTGGTTTTTTGCATTCAACCAATAACTATATAAAGTGCTCAAAATTATCGTTGAAGACTTGTAACACATTCGAAATATAGCTTATGAATTTGAAGTGTAAAAATAGTTATATGTTATTAATGTTTATAAGTGAAAATCTACAACTTTATTAAGTACTATAATCTATATCATCCATTCCTTTATTATTAAAATACTGAAGCAGCTAGTATACATAGATAATAAAAAATACATAAGTTGTGAATTATTTTCAAAATGTAGTAAAATATGTTTCTGAAAAAGATTAGTCATAAGACATATTATAAGATATATTACCTCTTAAAATTTTAGAATTAAAAATACTCAAACATTAATTCATTAATTTTCATTGAAAAATATTAAGGATTTATATAACCATTTGAAACTAATTTTTCTGCAGTTTAAAGATAAATTTAGAGTTTACTTTAAATTATTTGATACATAGAAGTTTTTTTCATCTTTGCTCTTTATGTTAAATTTTTAGAATTCTCAAACAATATAAAATAGAATTGTAAATGATAAGCTGATTTTGATTCGAAAATTAAAAAATGATCATTATTAACAGAGTTCTCGATTGAAATATCATAAATTTTTATATCAAATTGGAAAAGAGTTAGAATATTACTTGTTACTTTCTTGATCAGAAATTATTTATTGATATCATGTAGTTTAGCAAACATTTATTTGAGAACTTTAATAAAATAAAAATCACCTAATAAAATCCAAAACCGTATGATCCAAACTGTTACATATTTCCTCTATCTTAGGTTTAAAAATATAGTATAGTATCATAGTCGAAGGAGTTATTTTGATATGTTCAGTTTGAGTGATTTATAAAATCAATTTAATAGAAAAAATAAAATTAGAAGAATAATATTATATTTTATAGTTTAAGATGAATATTCATTAGCAGTGATGCTCATGTATTTCTATTTTTCAAAAAAGGAATATTTCAATTGGTAATAAATTAATCAAAGCGAAATGAATTCTTTAAATATTCTTGATATCAATATGTTTACATCAAAAATTAGTTTCTTATTCTATAAGATTAATTTGCTATTTTACAGTTTACATTTCCTAATAAAGTCTTACAATTTATAATTACAATCAATACAATAAAATTCATCAACTTAAAGAGACTTATTATTGATAACATTAAACCTCAAATTGGTTTTAAATTTAATTTCTCTTAAAGATATTGAACATAATTGTGTAAGTATTTATTCATAATTCCTTAATGAAAATATCTAATTTTTGTACTCTCTCAAATTTGCTCAAGTATGATAGTAGAATTTCAATATTTTAAAGAATCTATTTTAGTTTTTTCTCTTATTACTATTATAATTTTTCATCAAATAATTTAGATGAATTAAAATGATTTAAAAATTGTCTATAATCTTTCTTTCATTTAATTATTTGTTATAAGGAATTCAGAAATTTCAAAAAAGGTGTTTGTGGGCTTGTTTGTAGTTAAAATGAATGTAAAAGCTCTTATGTTTTATTTAGGAGAATGATTTGTGTATTTTAAATCCCAGTCAACGATACAATACAGAAATGATACTTAGAAACCATGCAAATATTAAGTATAAGAAGATTGTCAAGAATAAGAGTATTATGGCTTTTATATTGGTTAATGTATTGACTTGATAGTTTTTGCATATTTGATAAAGATAATTTTTGAGAATTGTCATCTTAATTCGTATCTGATGGATCAAAGTCTGTTAAAATGTTAGAATAGAGTGATTATAAAATAGAGAATGGATGTGCGAATAAAAATTATAATGGCAATTATTGCTTTTGGTTTTTGGGGACAAAAAAAAATGTACAATTGTAACTTTACGCGAAGAGTTAAAAATATATTTAAAAAATCATAGCATAAGCAAAGAAAGTCTTGATGGTTCTACTATAAGAAATAATGGTTATGGATTTATCGAATAAATGGAGTCATGTACAAAAATGTTTAATATTTTGAAAGTAAATAAAGAAAAGATAATTGTTCTTGAATTACAACTAAAACAAAATGTGTTTAAAAGGTGTACGAAAATCTACCATTTACTTAGGATTATGAATGTATGTCATATTTAAGTGATTGTAAAGTATGTTTATAAATATATGATTCATAAAGATGAATTTAAATTATATAGATTATACAACTAATAAAATTCATTGTTTAAAAAGGAGATTATGTAGTGATGCGTAGAAGAAAATTTTTTGTTTATCAGATGCTTAAGATAATAAATGTGAATATCATCAAAATTAATGTAAGATCAAGAGTTGCGACACTGCTCTAAATTAATTTTCATATTATCAAAATGGATCTGAAACATTTAATGGTTATACTTTTGAAATTAATTGTAATTGATTAGATTAATAAGATTGTGTATGGTATGAAAATAACTGTGAATAAAAATAATTTTATCACACTCAAAATTATTATAGTAATACAGATTTTTCACCTATTTGGAAAATATATAGGAAAATTAAATTGAGAATTTTAAGTTACACATTAATCATGTGATGATACATAATAATTACATTTATGTGACAATCTTAGGTGTTTTTCGGTCCTTGCATTCTTGAATTTTCTGGAATTAGATATACAAAATACCATCTTATTGTACAAATGATAAGTAAATAAAATTTAAATTAGATCTAATACATTGGCTTTTTTATATTCTCCAAATAATAATATGTATATTAATCTTTAAGAATGTTCTACGTGTAATCCTAAATGCACAGTTATTTTCTCCTTTAGTGTTGAAGGAAGTGAATCAAGCCGATAGGAGTTTTACAGGCATTGGAATTATAAAATAACTATTAATAGTTAAATTTATTATTGGGATAATAAACTAAAAATGTGTATGAATGAGGATGAAGATAACAATGGAGTGGCTGATTTTGATAAGACGCTCTATGGGGATCTATAATTAAATTTAAAGATTTGAAAATCACTCACCAGGATTGTGAAGAACTCATGCCTAATTGCACATTAAATAATATTTTTTGATACTGTTCAAATTTTTCAAATTATTGGGATTATAAATATAATTAATAATGCTAAATTACTAGATGTTAATAATCTTGCAAATGGGATGATCTTAATTAAATATGAAAAATTTAGTTTGAACTGACATTCTACTGTTTTAAAAGAGGCTGATTTTAAAAATTCAAATAATAAAACGAATGTCAAATGAAAAGTAAGTCTAATGAAGCTTTTAGACCTTTGTTTTAGAATAGACCTACTACCTGTAGTAGGATTTCAATTAAATTTATTTATCTAATCTCTACAAATACTTTTATATGTAAATTAACTCTAAATAATTATGACGAAAGATGTTATTATTATAATTCTATTTGTTTGTATGTATCATATTATATTTTTAGCACTACTCTAATATGAAGTATTTACTTAAAGTAAAAGTGATGAGTTCTGCCAATTATCTAATACCTTATATATTCTTTAATCAAGTGGGTAAGGATGTTATTCAATATACATAATATTATATTCTCCTCCACCACTAAATTAATTTTCTATTTCATAATATACATTTATTTTCCATCAAAAATATACCTCCATAAGCCTTATCTTTGGTCATTCACATATTCCCCTAATAAATATACTTAATTTTTGCTAATAAAGAATTTGATATATAATTACTTCCAATAATTCTAAATTGTTTCTTTCCTTATTCCTTATTTTTTGCCATCTGTTGTCTATAATTTATTTAAGAAATAGATTTTAATATACATATGCTATCCATAGACATCTGCTAAATTTTCACCCTTCCAGATTACTTTCCAATTATAGACGTTTAAGTTTTTTTTCCATATTCACAAATCCTTTGCAGATGTTTAACCTATTCTAAATTTTTAATTAGCTCATGTTTCTAATAAGTGCTTTAAATATTTTCTCTGAAATTTATAAATAATGAAATTAAAAAAAATTCTCAATAACTTTATATGTATTTTAGATCCTATTCATTTGTATGAGAAATTAATAATTTAGTTCTTATTTTTCTATTTAGATTATTCGAATAATCCCAATCAAATTCATCAATTTCTAAACTATATTCTTTTTTGGTTTTGTTTTTTTATGAAGATTAATTGAGATTATCAAAATAATTCATATATTTCTAAATAGCAAATTAGATTTTGATTATTAAGTATTTGTGGGGTTCTACAGCTAATTATTCAACCAGTTTATTGCCAAAATTAAGTTACTCATATACAATTGATATCTACAATTATCAAAAAATAAATTTGAATGATGCATATATTAAAATAAAAGATACTCAACATGATAAATAAAGGTTTTTATAAAATGATTGTGATATAAAATAATTTTTCTTTCAAATCATGCTTCTATTAGCATAGAAAGCTGAAATTTTTATAATATTTAGATCATTATATGTTCCACCAGGTAAAAGCACAATTTTTAATGTCTATACAATTTAATCTTAAAATGAAATTTTTACAATCCCAATCAAATTTAATCCTTAAAATAATTCTGTTTCTTGATTGTATTAATCAAAAGCAATAATTTTAAAACAATGATTTCTACCATCAATATCATAAAACCATACGATTATTTGATTAATCTCATAAGCTTATGAAAATTAAATGTCAATTGAAGTTGAGGTTGAGGCTAAGGTTCCAACATGCCCTTATCTATTCCAAACATAATATAATTAATATCTAAATGGACTTATATTCAAAGAAGAACCAACAAATCTAATATTTCTTGCATTTTTTACAAATGTTCCATTAAATTCAGCAGCTACATCTTAATAATACCCTCTTAATTGAAATTTATTTAAGAGTTAAGAAGAATACTAATATTTGCAAATTGAAACTGAATTTGTAAAGACTGAAAACGTCTGAAACAAAAGAATTAAAAATATAAGCATTACTTTATTATTTTTGATAAATTAATTTATTAGCTTGAAATGCTCAATTTATATATAACTTTCCTCTAAAAAATTTCAATATAAGTTTTTTTTATAATTAAGAGTCGATTATATTTTGAATATAGTTATGATGTAGAAACAATGCTTTAAACAGTTTCTAATTTTCTATAATTGCTTCATTATTAATTAAATCATAAGTAGAGTGGAAGGCACTTTAAAATTTATATTTTTTAAACTTTATTAAAATGAAATATGATGTTGTTTTTTATAAACGCTTTATAATAAATTATTCAACTAAATTAGATTATTAGTTAAAAAGTACTTTGATAGTCTTAGATTCAAAATATTAAGTTTAAGATTAAATTCTTCTTATTGGAATACAAATATTATCATATCTTGTATATAGTAATCTCTTTAACGTTATTATAGACATCCGATACTAGTCTAAAAAAACTTTTTAGAAGAGTCTCGATTAATAAACATATCTACTAATTGACTATATAATAACATAATGGTCAACTTTTTTATGATAGGCAATATTTTTCACTTGAGAAAGTGAAGTATTAAATAAAATCTAATATTTAATACAAAAATCTTAAAATCTAATGCATATTCCTAATGAATATTTAGTCAAGAAATATTTTTATTTCTCCTTAAGATGATATCTTTGTGTTGTTTATGAGAAAAACTCAGAATTAAAATCTTTTTTATTGAGATGTTTTGATTTCTTTAAAATCACTCCTTATAAAATTTTAGTCTTTGACTTTGAATTTGGGATGTTAATACATGTGTCAATTTTATCCCATAACTGATTATTCTGCTCTAAATAACATTTCTTCAATAATTTTTAATTACATTAGAAATATAATAAAAAAACAATTACCTATTTCGAAAAACGAAACTAAGAACTTACAGGATTAATTAGAATTGATATAATGTAGGGTAAAATATCACATAAATTAGGTAAATTAAACTACTATTTTTGCAATTTGTGTATGTTTCAGTAAAATGTAAAGAAGTAAAAAATTAATAATTCAATATCATTTCTTATCACAGTAATAAGTATACTGTAATTTAAATCAAATTATTAATATGATGAGTCTTTTATCTGGACAAAAACTCCTGTTTTGGAAACCTTGTCCTTCTAATGAGAGCCTATTATACTAGTTTTCATAAGGTCTCTAAAAACCCAAGCACTTTTCCTAATACCTATTAATTAAATCAAAAAATAATTTAATTTAACTAAATTAAAACCTTATATCATTTAAAATGGATGATGTCCAAAAAAGAGAATATTTTGGGACTCTTAGTACTAGGGACCCAAGCCCTATTTAAATTTATGATAGTTTGATAATGCTTCATTTAAAAGTAAATTTATAATTAGAGTTCAAATAGCATAAAATTACATTATGTATTGAATTTAATAATTAAACTTTGATTCCTAACATGCATATAATGATTACAAAAATATTTATTTTAAACTGCCTTTCGTATATGAACTTCTAGCCCAATAAAATGAAGCTTTTGTAGTTAAAATAATTGAAAATATTTAAATAAACTTATTCCTAATAATATTAATTTCTCAACAATTGCTCTTGATTATTTGCAGCAAATAATTTTATTAGGATTAAAAACATATTATAAAGTAATTTATCCTAAGATCAATAATTTAATAAAAATAGCTATGAATTAAGGAATTAAAAAACTCTTCAGATTTAATCAAAAACAATTTGGCTTAACGAAAACTTATAAAATTTGATGGATGAAAAATTTAAGACTTTGAAGCATCAAATTATTAATTTACAATAATAATTCTTCAAAATAATATTCAAGCTTTCTAAAATATTGTTCTATTATAAGATGGCAATTTCATCAGTAGATGGAATTTAATTAGGATATTTTTTAGAAAATGAATTCAACTGAATAAATTTTAAGGAAATAAGTTGATAAACTTAACTAAATAATATTTAGGTTCAAATTAAAACAGGCTAATTCACAACAACTGTCTTAGGTTTTGAATTTCTGGGTTGATTAAACTGAATACTTCTTGATAATTTCTATTCTTCTTCTCTTTAAATCATTTTTATCATATTTTATCCAAAAGATAAAGGACAAGGAAATTATACAAATAGTGTTAGTTGTTGTCTCCAATAGCTAAATTTTATCACCTTTTATATTTATTATTTCCTTTTTCAATGTCTCTTCCTCTCTTCTTCCTTTTTTCTTCTCAAATTTTCTCCTTTTGCTAACTCATCAAATTTTACTTTTTGTATTTATCAAATTAAATTCAACTATAAGTGATTGTTGCAAATGTAGGTAATGTTTATTAAAAGCTATCACATCCTATTTCAATCTTCTGAATTAGGACTTCAATTGATTTATAGTTTCTTCTGTAGTTTTTTCGAGTAGGAGGATCATTAATCAATTTTTTAAAGATAAGATATCTACAAAAATAACTTAGATTTCTTTTCGGGAATTTAGGTTTTGATTAAATTCTCAGCTTTAAAAAAAAATTAAAAAATTATGAAGTAAAAGATATTAAAAATGATTCTAAAATAAAATTTCTCAAAGTATGGAATGATCAAGCTAGAGGAAAATCTATTATTTGGCAAATGAAGCATTCTGAAAAGTTCTTTGAATAAGGTTAGAAAGATTATGAGATCTTTCCCTTGCCATTCAAGAAAAGTTAGAATCAATCTAAGTTTATCTAAATAACATAGATCTAATGAATACTGAAATACCATAAAATGAGTTAGATTATGATATAAATTTTAGAAGGCCATAGTGAGTTTGATCCCACAATGCAAAACTTTCATTTGACAGAGAAATATAAAAAAATATTCTTATTCAGAAAAGGAGGATATGGCGATGATTGATAACCTTGATAATAATAATAATAATGTGCTTATTTTTTAACTGGTAGAATAAATTTCATTTGCTTAAAATTTTAACTTCTGTTCTATGAAAATTAACTTATTTAATGAAATTGGCCTATTTAAATTTAGAAGTTTATATTATAAATAAAAAATCCAAAGGGATTAAGTAGAAAAATGCTTAAAAATTGATTCGAAATTAAGTTTTAGAATAAAAACTTCAGAAATTGTAGGAGAAAAAAAGGAGATGAAAGTATCAAGTGGATAAGAGTAAACATGTTATATATGTGATTTAGTCTATATTCACAAAAATATTCTTAATAGACATTTAAGGAGCTATTCCACTCCAAAATTATGTAACAGCAGAAATGAATTAAGAGTTGCTTGAAATATGAGATTTTTTTTGTTAATACAATTTTTCGTCCTTCTTTTTGAAGAATCTTCTTTTTATTCATTATTACTGGATTTAACTCTCTTTATTTAATAATTTTCTTCTAATGTTTTTAAAACAATAGAATCCTTTATTGGTAATTTGGAACGATCTAAATGTATTTGCATCGTATCTAATGAATTCCTAAAAACAAAGTAATAAATATCTTAATTTAAAAATTTTTTGAAATTAAGAATTATTATTATGAATCATGTTTTCAATGAAAAGTATCAAGAAATGTGAATTTAAGTGATAAAATGTTAGAAAATCTTATAATCTAAATGTCATTTTTTTAATTTGCAATCCCACTTTTAAAAAAATAAAAATATTATACCCCTTTTATGTTCTTAAAAATATTCGTATCTGTGTTATTTGATATTCCTAGTCACATCCAAATATTTATATATTTTGGCTTATAATTAATGATAATTTCAATTCTCTTGTGAGACAATATCCGAACTATGTTTATGTTCTTAAAGGCCATAATAATTAAATTCTAGCATTTCGAATAGTCTTCCAAAATTATTTGGTAAAGTGTTCTTAAAATTTATTTGCATTATTAAGATAATTTGTATTATTTGATGAAATACTATTCCTTATTTCTTAGCAATTCATTTACTTTTTTTTATCTTCATTTATGAAAAACAAAATTCATTATATAATGAATTATAAAAAATTTTGATAGATTTTCCTGATAAATGTATCAATCTAATTTCCCATTGAATAATAAGTGTTAAAATAGATTAATACCTCCAAGGTTAGAACTCCTTTAATATATTAACACAAAGCATAGTAAGTTAGAATATTAAGAAATATATTTATTTTAATATTAATGTTAATAATAAAATTTATATTTGATATGATTCCAATATTTAATTGTTTCAACTTTCCTTTTTAAATTGTAAGTTATTTTGTCAATTTAAAAATTTATAATATTGATGGAATTATTAAATATTTTTTTGGGTAACAATCTAGATTAGATATACATTATTTACAAATGCTTCATAAAAAATTTGTATAACTAGCCTCATTATCATATTGGTATGCCAATTCATAATGATTAATTGTTAAAAATACATAAAATGATTGAAAACAAAATCAAACAATATATAACAATACAGCATAATCGGAAAAGATCTTATCAAAATTGAAAAACCTGAGTAATTAAACTAATTTATTATAATGGTTTAGCAGGAGCAAATTATGTTGAAGACTTCAACAATCATCTAAATGGGTGAGACTTAGTATAATTGAGAGTGATCTAATTTTTTATTTTCACTTCTGTATTAGTATCTCATAATCAAAAATGAGCATTTTCTTATGGAAATTTAAGGGATACAGATTAAGTAAAATAATATTTTTAAGCATTTGTAAGAGAAGTATCAAAAATTGGAGTAGACACAGATCATATAAAAGAAGTGCTAACATCTTGCAAATAAATTAAATGAGATTAAACTACAAAAGATGAATATTATAAAAAAGACTCTATTTGTATATATTCAATATTTAAATATCTTTATCTAAAATAGTATAAAAAGATATGAAGGAGCTATAAAAGTATTAATTAGCAACATAATGATCACCTATGCTGCAATCGATAGTGGAGCCATGAATGTGGAGATAGATAAATACTCAAAATTGTGGATGATTAATTAAAAGGCAAAGATATATTAGTAATGATTTTTTAATCTGAAGATGTGAAGAATCAATTCAAGCTTTTTTAATATTATATGGTTTCGAAAAAAGATTCTAAGATATTCAAATTTATTATCAAAATTATTTGGATCCCATTAATTTAGAACTATAGTCATCCAAGTGTTAGTTGAAAATCCTTAAGTTAAGTATATGGGTGATGTTAAATAGTAAACTTATTACTCAAAAAATAATAAGCTTTATTATACAAGTATAATAAACTACCTGATTAAAATTAAAATGGACAATATGAAAAATAAGTATTATTATCTAATTTTTTCGTTAATTAAAATATCCTTAGGGGTTAAATTAAAATTATCATTGTCTTAATTAGTATTAATAGAGAATTCGATAACTTTTATTTTTGCTTTTAGAACAGCTCAGCTTCCAGAAATTACAGAAGCTGTAACTATTGTAATGTAAATTTTTGTGAATATGGATTTGTAGGAGCAAATGCTATTTTCTAAAAATCGCCATCCCCTTACATTTCTACTTTAGATAGTATTAAGCAATATCTCATTCTGTTAATACTTTTGAAATTAAAGATTCTATTTTTTAGATTTGATAATAAATTATTTGATCATTAATTAATCCTAATCAAATAATAATTTGAGTCATCAATTTAGATTTGTAAAATACAATAATTTATATCATTTTTCCCAATTTATTGTTAAGACTATATAATTTTTATTTTGTTATTATTATTTCACCCTGTTAGGGAGAAGAGAAACATAAATTATTTAGATCATATTATCTTCTCATATAAATTTTAGTTGTTGAATTATTCTAGCCTTTATTCTACACACTTAAGCCATTTGTTATTTTTAGTCCCATTAATAATTTTTTTATTAAAAGTATTTAAATTCTATTTCAAATAACTATTTACTAATTGTTTATATGAAGCTCTTTATTGATGTTATTTACAATTATATCGTCTTTTATTTGATAGTTTTTCATAATTTTTTGGCAGATTACTTAATTTTCCTTTAAAATTATTATTGCTGACTATTTCATATATTATATTACTTTCTCAATATAAATTTTATCTATCCTTAATCTTTCTCTTAATTTACGCTATCTCTTCATTATTTAAGACTAAAATAGGCTTAACAAGAAGATTCAAAATTTAATCTAAAGCAACTTTTGGAACTCTCATCAATACTTTCAAGGATCCATTATATAATTAATTAATTTCCTTTTAATGAACTTTGACTTAATTAAAATGTAAGGCAGCCAAAATATATTAGAAAGGAGGTCTGATAAATACAATCTCTATATTTATTCTTTCTTTACAACCCATAAATTAGGTTATCCATTTTAATTCTTTGATTAAGTAATTAATTATTTATAACCATTTTATTAAATGATTCTTTAAATTTCCTTATATGTTTATAATAATTCTGAGGTAAATAAATTAGTCAATAAATGGTATTCCTTCAATATATATATTTTTTTTGTTATTATTATTTTAAGTTAATAATTCCTCATATAGCTTTATTCAATACTAAATTCCACTTTACTCTTTTTTGAGTTAATCCTTATATAAAAAATTTTAGTTATTTATTCCTAATAATAACGCATAAATTGTCCGTATATTCATAATCTTCATATTACATATTTAACTTTTTTCATAGTTATTCTAAAAATGCTTCTAAATATATATTAAATAAACCAGGAGATAAAGATGATTCCTAAGGTAATTCATCCTTAAAAGGGTTTGGGTTTGGGTTTGGGTTTGGGTTTGGGTTTGGGTTTGGGTTTGGGTTTGGGTTTGGGTTTGGGTTTGGGTTTGGGTTTGGGTTTGG